CCGTCAGCGGCGTCAGCGGCAGCGGCAGGAGTCCGAGCCCGCAAGCCACGGCGCTGATGCGCCGGCGGTGGTCCCCTTCAGGACGACTGTCGCCAGGGACCCCGCAGCGAGAGCGGAGGCCGTCAGCGGCAGGCAGCGGCGGCAGCGGCAGCGGCAGCAGCGGCAGCGGCAGCAGCGGCAGCAGCGGCAGCGGCAGCAGCAGGATCCCGCAAGCCACGGCGTACAGGCAAGCAGGGAGCCAAGGCCTCTGGGAGGCTCCAAGAAAGTGCCTGAGTGCATGAGGAGCGCCAGAGGATCGACCATGGAAGGACCTGAGGAACAGCGAGTCCCTTCCGAGCCCGAACTCTGGCTCAAGCGTCTTGACTCGGTGTAGCTTCGCGTCGCCAGGGTGTTGGGGGCTCGTTGAGGCCCGCTCGGACTCCTCATGGGGGTTGTCGAGGCCAGCCGGGAATACCTGGGGGGGCTGTCTGTGCGCAACCCGAAGCCGCCTTACCATCTTGACTGCAGATCCACCAACGGAGACCGCATGCTTGCGCGACTCCCCACTGGACCAGGGGATGCCCCAAACGGCCCCACCATCGCCAACGCTGCCAGAGCTCCGCGCGTTTCCAGCGCTCCCGCCTCCAGTGCGGGAGCGTCATCGCGAACTTGGTCAGGTTCTTGGGCAGGTCCCCGAAGCCTTCCAGCCACTGGTGGACCTCGGCGGCGGGGCTCCGCGGGTGAAAGCACGGGGATTTCTTGGATCTGCGCTGGACCTCCCTGGCACGAGGAGCGCGACAGGGGTGGCGCCGCATGCGCCGCCACTGGGGTCCAGGCCAGATCCAAGAAATACCCACGTACCGCCGCACGTTCATCTTTATACCGTTCTTCCTTCTTCGGCAAGTGGGGCCAGAGCAGATCGGGCCGCAGCGCCAGTGCATCGCCAGCGCCGAGGTGTAGAATGTGTGCGCAGGATTGCGGCGCGTCGCAGATGCATCGGCTATGCGGCGCGATCCCCCGACCCCAGCTGCAGTCGAAACATGACCACAAGAGCTCGGGTCAAGGACGTGAGCCCCTTCGCGGAGGGGCCTTGGCCCCGAGGAGATGACCCAACACGAATACGGTGGGAAACTGTTGCTTAGCGTGTCGCGGCAGCGTCCCCAGTAACACGCGATGCCGTGCAAGCGAAGATCGTTTCGCTCCGTTCCGGGGGGGCGGGAGATCAGGAAAGGCTCGGGACGTGGACGCCTGTGGGCCCCAGCATGGATACCGTGTCGCGCCAAAGCGTGGTAAGCTAAAGTTCCCGACCGTAACATTCCAAGGTGCACATCCCAAACACGAAGAACAGAATGGCCCCCTCTCCAAAGCTGGGGCTGTTCTTTACTCCCGCGCAAGCCGCACCACAGCCCCCTCTTAGCGGGCGGCCTGGGCACCACGGTGGGAGGACAACGTAGCAGCTGGGCGTCGTGCGGGGGTGCGCGGGGGCGTGGGCGGTGGAGAGGTTGAGCACGAGCTGCCTGCCTGTTCGGCGGGCCCGACTGCGGGCACGACACGCTGAAGCAGTCGGATGAGTCCGCCCGGGGATGGGCAGGCGAGCAATGCGAGCCCGAGCGCTCGATGCCCCCCCGCGCGAGCATGGGAGGCACCGACCAGGCAGTCCAGACGGAGTAGCGAAGGTATGCCGATCGCAGGTTGGCGTCTGGCCATATAGATTATCGGGAAGGCCGCGGAGGTCCGATGTGCTGAGGCGTTCGTGGCTTCCTGGGCCCTGGACGTTGGAGGCGGTCAGGTCGCTATAGTACTTGTCGAGCTTGCTGCGGATCAGGATGGTCCGCTTGTAGTCGGGGTCGACTTCGGTAACCTTGCTGCAGTCATGCCGCACTGGACTTCTAGAGATGTCTCCAGGACCACACTGTCCTCCTCCACCTCCTCCTCCTCCCTCTCGTCCTCCTGCTCCTCCTCCTCCTCCTCCTCCTCCTCCTCCTCCTCCTCCTCCTCCTCCTCCTCCTCCTCCTCTTCCTACTCTCCTCCTCCTCCTCCTCCTCCTCCTCCTCCATCCCTTTTCCTCCTATATAACCTCTCACTGTCGCACCCCGAGGCCGGTCAAAAGGGCGGGCTCGGCGTTTCGCCTGAGACTTTCACCCCATGCATGACCTGAAGCTTGCAATTTCGCAACAGCTTCACAGATGGAGGGCGGGTCGTTTTCAAAATGTGGCTCTCGCCGTAGCGCCGTGGACATTCGTTTTTTTTTAACATTTGCAAGAGCTTCACAAATTTGGGGCGGGTGGTTTTCAAAATATGGGTCTCGCTGTAGAGCCACCACGCACACTCGTCTTAAAAATGTGAAAGAATTTCACAGCTTCAGGGCGGGTCGTTCTCAAAATGTGGCTGTCGCCTTAGCGCCGCGCACATTCGCTTTCAAAGTTTGCAAGGGCTTCTCAGATTGAGGGCGGGCCGTTTTCGAAATGTGGCTCTCGCCTGAGAGCCGCGCACATTCGTTGTCAAAAATCGCAAGAGATTCACTGATTGAGGGCGGTTCCTTTTCAAAATGTGGCCATCGCGTGCGGGCCACGTACCATGGTCAACGTACCAGAAATGGTGCTTTGGAAAGACTAGGGGTTATGAGGGCGCAACAGTTACGTTGATTCGTGGTGTTGAAGTCCCGGGACTGGCGTTCTGGCACGATTCATGATCGTCAAGACGCAACAGTCAAGTTGATCCGTGGCGTTGGAATCCCGCGAATAATATTTTGGCATGCTTCAGGGTCTTCAACAGCTTGTCTTCCAACGAGGCAGTTCCCACAGTGAAAATGAATCCTTGTATGGGGCCTACGGAGAGGGAGCTTGAAGCAGGGTTTTTTCCAACACCGTTGATGACACTTGGGTTTACACTGGTCCTCCTCCTCCTCCTCCTCCTGGACCCTCTCCTCCTTCTGCTCCTCCGCGCCATCCACCTCCCCTTCCCCAACAGTCATCCCACATCCTCCGCAACCTCCTCCTCCTCCTCTTTCCCCTCCTCCTCTTCCTCCTCCGCCTCCTTCTCCTCCTCATCCTCCTTCTACTCCTCTTTCTCCTGGACCATTTCCTCCTTCTGCTCCTCCGTGCCCTCCCCCTCACCTTTACCCTCCTCCCCTCCTCCTCCTCCTCCTCCTTCTCCTCCTCCTCTCCCTCCTCCTTCCTCCTCCGCCTCCTCCTCCTCTCCTCTTCTTTCTCTCGCTCCAACGCCGCGACTGTCTCACGGCGTGCCCCCCCCCGCTCACAAAGGCGGCCCCAGCGACATGCTATGCCCTGCGAGCTGACATCGTGACGCTCTGCTCCGCGCAGGACGGGAAGCTGGGGAAAGCTCCTGAATGGTGACGCCTAGGGACCAGGACCGTGTCAGCGTGTCGCGCCGAAGCGTGATGTGCCGGAACCGGCAGCGCGAAATGCTAAGCAACAGTTCCCGACCGCAGTTCGCCTGTTTTCGCGAATTGCGTCCCGAGATGCGCGACTTACGGACATCCTAACAACGAGGACGAGGACGAGGAGAAGGAGGAGGAGGAGGAGGAGGAGGAGGAGGAGGGGGAGGAGGAGGAGGGGGAAGAGGAGGAGGAGGAGGAAGAAAAAGAGGACGAAGAGAGAGGAGGAGGAGGAGGAAGGAGGAGGAGGAGGAGGACGAAGAGAGGGAACACCAGCGCTGCCTTCTCATGCCCTCGCGCACTCGCGTCGCCCCTCCTGGATTAAGGGGCACCTATCCAGCCCAGGCCGCGACGCGTGGAGCGCGGTCATCTCCTCCTCCTCCTCCTCTTCCTCATTCTGCTCCTCCTCCTCCCCACCTCCTTCTCCCTCCTCCTCCTCCTACCCATCCCACTCCTCCTCCTCCTCCTCCTTCCTCCTCTCCCTCCTTCTCTCCTCCTCCTCCCCTCCTCCTCCCCCTAGCACCTCCCCCTTCCCCCTCCTCCTCCTACCCATATCCCTCCTCCTCCTGCATCCTCCTCCTCATCCTCCTCCTCTTCCCCCTCCTCCTCCTCCTACCCATCATCCCCTCGCTGGTTCTCGCAAAACTCACACGCCACCATCCCTCCTCATCCTGTCCTCCCGATCTCCTCTGCCCTCGCCCTCCTCCTCCTCCTCCTCCTCCTCCTCCTCCTCCTCCTCCTCCTCTTCCTCTCATTCCTCCCTCCGTCTCCTCCTCCTCCTTCCTCCTCCTCCTCCTCCTCCTCCTCCTCCTCCTCCTTCTCCTCCTCGTTTCCATCTGGAGGACTCTGGATGCCATCTAAGCCCGAAGAGGGCCCAGAAGCGCACAATATCCTCGAATTTCGAAGCTCACTCCTCTCCTCCCCAGGAAAAGCGGAGAAGGCGAGAGGAGCAGATGGGAGAGTGAGGAGACGCAGCACGAGAAGCAGCACAGCCATCGTGCGACCGTGAAGGAACGTCCAAATAAGGACGGGAGGGGCTCTTCTGGCCACGGCGAGCCTCGGCCGCGAACAAATTCCCCGCCGTAGATCTACGGAACAGCACGAAGGCCGTAGCCCCACAAGAGCAAGGGCAAGGGCAGGCTGGAGCAAGAGCACAGCGAACAGGAGCAGGAGTACCAGCTGGAATTAAACTTCGATCTGCACTTCGACCTGCCTCTGCCGAACATTTTTGACCCCCCCACACCAGCTCGCGTGAGGTGCGCGCGTGTGACGGCAGGGAAAGTCCGCGAGGATCACCAGGGAATGTGCGCGTGGAGCCAGGAAAGCTTTGCATCCACCGAACCCTTCCGAGCGCCAGGCGGCCCACAAAAGGAGGGGCCGGAGAGCTCGACCCCAGGGCGCCTTGCAGGGACTCCGAATCCCAGGGTAATCGTTCGGCCCAGCAGCGACTGCGACGACCGACGAACGACGAACGACGACAGACGCAAAACGCACGACGGACACCGACCCACCGACGAAAGCGACGAACGACGACCGGCGGACGATGGACGACGACCGACGACGACAACGACGACGAGGATGACGACGAGAACGACAAACGAAGACAACAACAAACGACCTACGACCAACGTCAGACGACGGCCCACGAACGACGACGACGACGACGACGACGATGACGATGACGACGATTACATTGACGACAACCAGGGCAGGTAAAGAAAATTGGTCCGCCAGGGCACGGAGAAAACTGCTCGTCCACCTCCTCTTCCTCCTCTTCCTCCTCCTCCTCCTCCTCCTCATCCTCCTCCTCCTCCTCCCCCTCCTGTTCCCCCTACTCCTCCCCCTCCTCCTCCTCCTCCTCCTCCTCCTCCTCCTCCTCCACCTCCTCCTCCCCTCCTCCTCCCTCTTCTTCCTCCTCCTCCTCCTCCTCGTCCTCTTCCTCCTCGTCCTCCTCCTCGTCCTCCTCGTCTTCCTCGTCCTCCTCCTCCTCCTCCTCCTCCTCCTCCTCCTCCTCCTCCACCTACTCCTCCTCCTCCTTTCGTATCTAAATAATTACTCCCTGTCGCACCCCGGGGCCGGTTTTTAGGGCGGGCCGGGCCCTTCGCCTGAGACTTCCTCACCATCTATGACTCGGAAGCTTACAATTGGCAACAGTTTCACAAATGAAGGGCGCGTCGTTTTCAAAGTGCGGCTCTCGCCTCAGCGCGGCGCACATTCGATTTAAAAGCTGCCAAGATTCACTGCTTGACGGCGGGTCGTTTTCAAAGTGTGGTTCTCTCCTCAGCGCCGAACGCACTCGTTTTCAAAAATTTGCAGGAGCTTCACGGATTGAGGGCGGTTCTTTTTCAAAGTGTGGTTCTCGCCTCAGCGCCGCGCACATTCGTTTCAAATCTGCAAGAGTTTCACGGATTGGAGGCGGGTCGCCTTCAAAATGTGGCTCTCGCCCCAGCGCCGCGCACATTCGTTTTCAAAATCTGCAACGAGCTTCACGGATTGAGGGCGGGCCGCCTTCAAAAAATGGCTCTCGCCTTAGAGCCGCGCACACTCGTTGACAACATGTTCAACAAGGGTTCCACGGATTCCCATCATCAAAGTACCAGAAATTCTGCCGTGGAAAGATTCAGGATTATAGGGGCGCAACGGTTACGTTGATTCGTGGTGTCGAAGTCCCAGGATTGGCGTTCTGGCACGATTCAGGATCGTCAAGACGCAACAGTCAGGTTGATCCGCGGCCTTGGAATCCCGAGAACAATGCTTTGGCATGCTTCAGGGTCTTCAAACGGGTGTCTTCCAACGAGGGAGTTCCCTCAATGGACATGAACCGTTATAGGGTTCTATGAAGAGGGAGCATGGAGGGAGGGCTTACTCCAGCATCGTTGATGACTCTTGGGTTTACACTGCTCCTCCTCCTCCTCCTCCTTTTTCCTTCCTTCCTGCCTTCCTTCCTTCCGCTCGGCTTGACGAGACCCGCGTTGTCGGGGCCGCGCGCCCGGCCGGGCCGCCCGGCGCGGGCACCTACTCGCAGGCGGGCGCCCGAATGCCCGGCCTGCGCACCCTCCTCGCGGCCGGGGGCGTTCCTCCTCCCCCTCTTCCCTACTCTTTGTGATACTTAGCGCCGTCCTCACCATTTCTGTCTCCTCTGCCCCCTCCTCCTTCTCCTCCTCCTCCTCCTCCTCCTCCTCCACCTCCACCTCCACCCTCCCCCTTCTCATCCTCCTCCTCCTCCTCCGCCTCCTCCTCCACCTCCTCCTTCTTCCTCCTCCTCATCCACCTCCTCCTCTCTCTCTTCCTCCTCCTCCTCATCCTCCTCCTCCTCCTCCTCCTCCTCCCCTCCTCCTCCGTCCCCCCATCCCTCCTCCTCCTTCTCCTGCTCCTCCTCCTCCTACTTTTCCTCCGCCTCCTCCTCATCATCATCGTCATCATCATCATCATCATCATCATCAGCAGCAGCATCATCAACATCATCGCATCAGCATAATCGTAGTCATCATTACCATCAATCATCAGCAGCACCATCACCATCAGCATCATCAGCAGCAATCATCAGCACCATCATCATCAACAACAACAGCAACAGCAGCACCGTCATCAGCAGCAGCAGTCTCATCATCTTCATCCGCATCATCATCAGCATCATCACCACCATCCTCATCATCGTAATCATCAGCATCGTCATCATGAGCATCATGATGAGCATCAGCAGTATCATCATCATCATCAGCAGCATCATTATCAGTGTCACCATCAGCAGCATCAACATCATCGTCATCGTCATCAGCATCACCATCAGCATCATAATCGTCATCAGCATCATCATCAGCAACATCAGCAACCACATCGTCGTCATCAGCAGCATATCATCCTGAGCAGCATCATCAGCATCATAAGCATCACCACCACCACCACCACCATCATCATCAACAGCATCATCATCATCATTATCATCATCATGTTCATCATCATCATCCGCATCCCCATCATCATCGCCATCATCAGCAGCAGCAGCAGCATCATCATCACCGTCAGCATCAGCATCAACATCATCATCAGCAACATCAGAATCATCATCATGATCAGCAACATCATCAGCAGCATCAGCAGCATCATCATCAGCAGCAGCATCCTCAGCATCATAAGCATTACCAGCATCATCATCCTCATCATCATTTTCGTCATCATCAGCATCCGCATCAGCATCGCCATCATCATCAGCAGCAGCATCATCATCACCGTCAGCATCAGCATCAGCATCATCATCATCAGCAGCAGCAGCATCATAAACATGTTCATCATCATCAGCAACATCATCATCATCATCATCATCATCACCATCATCATCATCATCAGCAGCATCAGCATCAGCATCAGCATCATCATCATCATCATCATCATCATCATCATCATCATCATTATCAGCAGTAGCATCATAATCAACATCGTCATCGTCATCGTCATCGTCATCAGCAGCAGCATTATCATAATCATCAGCATCATCATCGTCATCATCATCACCATCATCGTCATCATCATCAGCAGCAGCAATATCATCATCCCCCCCCTCCCCGCTCCTCCCGTGATGCTGCTGGTCGCCGTCATCGTCAGGCCGTGCGCGGGGTCGAAAATTTGAAGAGCAGCAGCGAGCCTCTCGTGAGGTGCAAACAGCCCGCTTCAAGGACAGGGCCGGTGCGCTCACTGGAGGAAGACCTCCACGGCAGGGCCCCTCGCCGAAGGCTACTTCTTCTCCCTCGGATACCCACGGGCCTCGGACTACGAGCTAGCTGGCCTAGGGAGTAGCTTGTTAAGGGTCTTGGAGACCTTGTCGGGAGCGCGTTCACTTACGCAACTGCTCATTAGATGTAGTTATGTGTGTGCGCATGTCTATACGCACGGACTGCTTATCACTAGTCTGTACGCCACTGCTCATCTTGGAAGGGGAAGACCCAGAGCTGACCTGGACGACACTCAGAGGACCGAACGTGGGGGGGTGAAATCGCTTCCGGAGCTCACCAATAATTTCGGAGAGGGCATCGGAATGAGGATTTCCTTACCAATGTTCACAAACATACCAGGTGATAGTTGGGACACTTACTCTAAGAAGATTGCAAGTCTCACGATGATTCAATTCGCCTCTACTACGACGTGGTGGAGGCCCAGTTGGGGTCTTTCAAGTTCTCTGCTTTCGAACGCGGATGCATGTGTTGTCTGAGTTGCTGAGCTGCCTGGACTGGGGGTCGTGTGATCCATTGTGGTTATCAGCTCGAGTCGTCAAATGTTTGCCCTTTCTGCCTAGCCGTTCCTGATATATCACTAAGACTGTATTCGCTCACGCAATTCATTCTGGCCTCGTCTTCGGGACACCGGTGGAGTCACCATCATCTGGGCCGATTGGCCCGAGAAGGGGGCATGAAGTCTCGGGGGACACCTTCATGGACGGGAGCTGTGAGCGGCACATAGTTAAGGAGTTGTCCCGAGCTAGCTTGGGGGTACAGCCCATTCGCCCAGTGGAGATTTGGCGTGTTCTATTTACTCCCCTTGTGGGGACCGCTCCCGCAAACCAGCCAGGCAGGAAAATAGGGCTGGCCTTGGAGGCGTCCTTCCAATTCTCGTAGGTCATTCCAAAAGTCCTTCGGATTGTCTGAACGTGGTCCAGGCTCATGAGGGGCCCAGGTCCATCAAGCTGTCTCACGAGCGTTCGCACGCTTGTATGATGTCGTCATGTTCATACTCCCCTGTTGGGACTTCCTCCGGAAGGTCATGGCTAACCTCGAGGAGTCCGAGGTCTCGACCCCTCAGGAGACTTTCTTTCAGAGTGGTGGCCAGACGCCGACTGCGCCGCCAAGGTAGGCCTCAGTCTCCACCCGCAGCCATCGGAGGCTGGGCGCGAAGAGCTGGCGAGGCAGGCTTCGGCCACGCAAGCTCTTTGCGCGCCAGGAGCGGAGGGCCCCTCCGCCTGACCGAGGCTGGCCCTGCCCCCGAAGCTCCCGAAGCTGCCGAGTCGCACCTTGAGCACGGGATGCGCCGATCGGCAATAATCAAGGAATAAGAAAACGATCACGTTCCAGCGTGCTCGAGCCTTACGTTTCCCCGAGCATCCCTCGGCTCCGGGCACCTGCCCGCCCGCACGCCAGAGGGAGGCCCGCGGGCAGGGGTGGCCTCCTGGTGCGCGGGCCACGGTGGCCTCGTGGCGTGTGCGGCGCTGACGGCACCGTAGGGAGCCCTTTGCTCAGCGTGTCGCGGCGGCGGCGGCAACCGGCGACACGCTGTGCCCTGTAAGCGGATGCGCAGCGGGTCGCTCAGGGCCTGCGCGGGGGGAGACCTGGAAAACCTCGGAACGCTGATGGTTGAGAACTGGGAGTGGTCGGCGTGTCGCGCCGAAGCGTGGCGGGCCAGAGCTGGCGGCGCGACACGCTGATCACCAGCTCCCGACCGTACCAGCCAAGGGTCTGCGGTTCCAGCGCCAAGGTTCCCGTCCGACGCTGCGCGGCTGCTCTGGAGAGGTGTCCAGGCCGGCCTTAAGGTCGAAAGATCACCAAGGGCATCTATGTTTGCGCTTCGCGAAGCGCGAAGCGCAAATGAGCGATCTTACGCGGTGACCTGCGCGGGCCGCCAACGCGGCACGCCATAATGGAGACGAGGGCGCTTCTGCGCGACCTTACGCGGACAGCTTACGCGCCAATGTCGGCGAAGACGATCCCTTTTTTGGAGTCGCTCAAACAACTTCGCGAACTCGTGCCGCCCCCCTGGGGCAGAAGAAAAGGACGAGGAGGATGAGGATGCGGATGAGGAATCGCGAATATCGCCCGCGTGGTAGCAGTAGTGTCAGGAGCAGCAGCTCCTCTCGTTCGACTGCTCCAACGGATCTCCGCTTTTCGCTGGTGATTGCATAAAGCCTACACGGCACTAGGCAACTCGTGTCCTGCTGGACGATGCCTGCCTGCGTCGACAAGGTCGCAAGAATCCCGACGCGTGGAATAATAACAAGAGGAGCCGCTACAGGCAAGACCAGTCTATGAGAAGCCCACTGCAAATAAACAATCCTTGAAAATCTCCAAGTGTCCTGCGCCATGGTTGGGTTGCTTGCTTAGCGACTGCCAGCGAAGAAACTCAGGGTACTCTGGGCCAGGCGTGCTCTTGGTAGCTCGCGCAAAGCACCTCAACGACAAGAAACCATGGACGATCGCGAAAGAAAACGTTAGTCTTGTATAACCAGGAATACTTGGGATCCCTCGCGAAGAAACCGAGGCCAAAACATTGGGTGCGCTTTGGCGTGGAATCCCTCTGCATTATCGCTCCAAGGGCGTCACGCTGGAAGCCGACACACGCGCGTTCAATGAAAGGTTAGCAGGGAGTTCATGAGGTTAGCAAGTCCACATCATCCTTCTTTCCTCCTTCTCCTACTCTGACTCATCATCCTCCTCATCCCGCCAGGTGGTTCGCTGCCACCTTCCGCAGGGCCCACAGGTTCGCCGCATCGCCGGCCTCTTCCACGCAAAGGATGACGTTGCGGTCGTCCTTCGCGGGCTGTGCGCCAAGGCGCTGTGGAACCCAAGAGGAGTGAGCACCGTGAGCGAAGAAGAGAAAGTGGTTCTACGACCTGCCGAGATCACCCCATGACTCACGCAGACCAGCGATCGGAGGAGGGCCAGTTGAGACAACGGCCGCTCTCCCGCTGGGCCCGTATTTTCTCAAAAACAACCCCCAAACCCCTCCCGCGCTCCCATCCTGACCTTGGCGAAGCGGATCCAGCCGTGGCCGACGAGGAGGCCCCGAAAGGACGAGAAACGTCAGGGAGGGCCGCTGTTATCTGAACGGGCCCTCTTCCGAAATGACGTGGCACACCGCGCGGAGACAAGGGAGCTCACGCACGGCCTTACGCGCACAGCGTACGCACCAATGTCTGCGCCATCACCACCCGTTGTCCTGCGTCGCTCACGTGTCAAATAGGGTCGCAGGCTCCAAGGAGAAATAAGGTATCCTCATCCTCATCCTTATCCCATCCTCCTCAACATCCTGTCTCCAACTCCTCCGGCTCCTCCTCCTCCTTCTCCTCATCCTTCTCCGCCTCCTTCACATCCTCCTTCCCACGCCTGCGCTTGCTCCTGCTCCGTCCTCCTCCTCCTCTTCCTTCTCCTCCTCCTCCTCCTCATCCTAATCATCATCAGCAGCACCAGCAGTAGCAGCATCATCAACAACATCACCACCATGATCAGCAGCAGCATCATCATCAGCAGCACCGCCAGCAGCAGCAGCACCACCACAACCACCAGCATCATCACTATCAGCATCAGCATCATCATCATCATCATCATCATCAGCAGCAGCAGCATCAGCATCACCATCATCATCAGCATCATCAGCAGCATCATGTTCGTCATCAGCGGTAATCTCATCATGAGCAGAATAACAAGCATCATCATCATCAACAGCATCATCATCACCATCATCACCATCATCATAATTCGCATGAGCATCAGCATCATCAGCAGCATCATGGTCCTCGATATTATCAGCAGCAGCACCATCATCAACAACAGCAGCAGCATCGACAATCACAACAACAGCAACAACACCACCAGCATCATCAACAACATCGTCGTCGTCGTCACCACCACCACTACCAGTATCCTGCTCCAACTCCGCCTACTCCTCATCATGATCATCCTCAGCATCCTCAGCATCATCAGCATCATCATCACCATGATCATCATCATCAGCAGCATCATCAGCATCATCATCATCATCGTCTTCCTCTGACGCCTCTGCCTCTTCCTCCTCCCTCCCTCCTCCTCGTCATCATCCTCTTCCTCCTCCTCCTCCTCCTCCTCCTCCTCCTCCATCCCGTTCCCCTCCTCCCTCCCGCTCCCCTCCGCCTCCTCCTCCTCCTCCTCCTCCTCCTCCTCCTCCTAGTCATCCTCCTCCTCCTATTCCTCGTTATCCTCCTCCCTCCGCTTCATCCTCCTCGCCGTCCTCATGATCATCATCCACATCATCTGCAGCATCAGCATCATCATCATCATCAGCATCATCATCATCATCATCATCATCAGCAGCAACATCATCAGCATCATCCTCCTTATCAGCATCGTCAAAAAACATCACCATTAGCAGCAGCATCAACATCATCACTAGCATCATCGTCATCAGCCGCATCAGCATCAACATCGGCAGCATCATCCCCGTCATCAGCATCAACATCATCACCATCATGATCGTCGTCATCATCGGCAGCCACATCATCATAAGCAGCAGCATCAGCATCATCATCATCATCGACATCATCACCATCATCGGCATCAGCGCCATCATCATCAATAGCATCGTCATCGTCATCATCAACAACATCACCACCAGCATCATCGCCGTTACCATCAGCATCGTCACCACCGCCACCATCAGCATAAGCATCAACAGCATCAGCATGATCATCAGTAGCATCGTGATCATCGTTATCGGTATCGCCATCGCCATCATCATCAGCATTAGCAGCATCGTCAAACTCGTCAATGTCATCATCAGCATCATCATCATCATCATCAGCAGCAGCAGGAGCAGCGGCATCAGCAGCAGCATCAGCGCCGCCGTCAGCATCAGCAGTGTCACCACCATCAGTATCATCATCAGCAGCAGCAGCATCATCAGCAGCATCAGTATCGCCATCATCAACAACACCACCATCATCAGCTTGGCCACAATCAACGCCACATCATCATCGTCAGCAGCAGTAGCATCCTCATCATCATAATCAGCATCAGCACCACCATCGGCATTAACAGCAGCATCATCAGCAGCATCAGTATCATCGTCATCATCATCATCGTCATCATCATCAGCAGCAGCAGTATCCCCATGATGAGCAAATTAATAATCATCATCATCGTCAAAATCATCGTCAACAGCATCGTCTTCATCATCATCGTCATCGTCATCGTCATCAACATCATCATCACCATCATCATCAGCATGGTCATCATCACCACCATCAGCATGATCATCACCACCACCAGCATCATCGTCAGCATCATCATCATCGTCATCGTGATCAGCAGCATCATCGTCGTCGTCCTCAACATCAGCAGCAACATCCTCGCCATCGTCATCGTCGCCATCAGCATCAGCATCACCCTCACCATCATCCTCATCATCAGCATCATCATCATCACCATCATCATCCTCATCATCATCAACATCAACATCAATATCATAACCGTATAGTCATCGTCATCGTCATCGTCATCGTCATCATCGTCGTCATAGGACCATCATCATTCTTGTCCGCTTCTTCCTTCCTCTCATCTCCTCGCCCTGCCACTGACCCCGCCCGACATGCCTGACGGAGCGGTCGTCACACCAAGAGTGCCCACACCCCTCTGCGCAAGCTATGACTGCCTGCTTGATCTCACCACGGCCCGCGAAACCGCGACGATACTGACCAGGATGTTGAAAGTCCCAAGGTGGGGAAATTGATATTAGAGACTGTGTTGTCCCAAGGCTACAGTTTGCTCGGGCGCGCCAGCGTCCTGGTCAACCAAAGTACCCCTTCTAGGGCCTGATCTCAGACAAAACATGGCGCCCCAAATCCCATCTACAGGTCATAAAGGAAAGCTTGAGAGGTCCCGTCCAATGTGAGCTCCGTATACATCGGGCTCTCGCTTTCGGCCTTGCGGCGGCTTTGCGGCGACGAGTGGTATTGCCCTGTGTGCACTTCGCGCGTCCCCTGTCCACACCCGCTGGGGTGGAGCAACGCTCGTGGGCATGGAGCGGTGGCTCCCTATCAATATGTGGAATCCTTGGCAAAGCCTCCAGGGTCCTGGTGGCACTCCGCCAGCCCGCACCGCTTAGGCCTCTGAGCAGCAGCAAGCCCCCAGCGTGGCTTCCTTGCCACGTCGGCAAGACGTCTGGGATCCGCCCAGCCACCCAGAAATCCGACGATACCACTTTTCCAATGCGCGGCCCCAGAGGCCCCGAGCACTGCCCCAGCTGTAGTTCGCCTTCCGCCCCGAGCGCATCCTTCATGGTCCCGGGGCCCGCGAAGGCTCCGAAGGCCGAAATCTGTCAGAAAAAAACGCCAGTAGAACAAGATCGGAGAGCCGGAGACATGAGCCCACGGGAGCGCGCGCGAAGGGGGGCGTTCCCCAGGACCGAGCGGTTATCCATCCCGTAGCTGTGGTTGTGCCCGAGCGTGCCCGCCCTCTCCTCGCCCTCGCTGGTGTGGGAGGAGGCGGAGGAGGAGGAGGAGGAGGAAACGGAGGAGGAGAAAAGCAGGATGGGGAGGAGGAGCAGAAGGAAGAGGAGGAGGAGGAAGAGGAGGAGGAGGAGGAAAAGGAGGAGGAGGAGAAGGAGGAGGGGGGGAGGACGGGGATGAGGAGGGGGAGGAGGAGGAGGAGGGAGGAGGAGGAGGAGGAGGAGGAGGAGAAGAAGGAGGAGGAGGAGGAGGAGGAGAAGGAGGAGGAGGAGGAGGAGAAGGAGGAAGAGGAGAAGAGGTGAAGGAGGGAGGAGGGGGAGGAGAAGGAGGAGGAGGAGGAGGAGGAGGAGGAGAAGAGGACAAGGAGGAGGAGAAGGCGGAGGAGGAAGAGGAGGAGAATGAGGAGAGGGAGAAGGAGGAGGAAGGAGAGAAGGAGGAGGAGGAGGAGGAGGAGGTGGAGGAGGAGGAGGAGGATGTAGAGGAGGAGGGTGATACTCGGGGAAGACGTATTCAATCGACAAGGTCGGGTGCCGCCTCGCCGCCGCCCGCGCTCGGCCCCCTCAGCCTGGGGCCTCCCGCGCGGCGCCCGCGGCGGCGTCGGCGGCGGGCGCCCTGCCGCGCGTGGCGCGCGCCGCCCTCGCGGCCGCGGGCGCGCGGCCTCGACGGGAGTGTGTCCGCACGTGGCGGGGCGCGGATTCGCTCCCACCTCCACGCGGGGTGACGGCGACGGCGGCAGGATCGGCCACGCCGCCCGCGCTGGCGGGCCGCCTCGGCAGGGCTCCTCGGGCGGCTCCAGCGTGGTCCGCCCCGTGGTCGCGCGCCCGCCCGCCGAGGTCTGCGCCGCGAGCCGCAGGCTCGGCGGGGCCTCGGGAGGCGGCTCGGGCGCAGCGCTGGTCTTCGACCTCGGGCGGCCCGCTCGCAGCCGCCAGCAGCCTGCGCACCAGCGCCCTGGTCTTCTCGGCGTCCTGCAGGTCCTCCTTCTGGAGGCCACCAGCGCTTGCCTCCTCCACCTCCTCCTCCTCCTCCTCCACCTCCTCCTCCTCCTCCTCCTCCTCCTCTTCCTCCTCCTCCTCCTCCTCCTCCTCCTCCGTCTGCACCGTACCCACTTCAATGGCTTCCCCCGCCATGCTGCGACCGCCCATTGGCTGTAGAGGCGGAGGAGAAGGAGGAGGAGGATAATTACCCTTAGGATTACCCTGAGAGGTACGTAAGGTACAGAGGTGTACCGAAGGAGGAGGAGGAGGAGGAGGAGGAGGAGGAGGAGGAGGAGGAGGAGGGGGAGGAGGACGAGGAGGAGGAGGAGGAGGAGGAGGAGAAGGCGGAGGAGGAGAGGAGGAGGAGGAGGAAGGAGGAAGAGGGAGGGAGGGCGGGAGGAGGGGGAGGAAGAGGAAAAGGCGGAGGAGGAAGAGGTAGGGAGGAAGGGAGGGACAGAGCGAGGGGAGGGATGGAGAGAGGGAGGGAGGAGGAGGAGGAGGAGGAGGAGGAGGAGGGATGAGCAGGAGGAGGAGGAGGAGGACCAGCAGCAGCAGCAGAAAGAGGGGCACTTTTCTCCTGTCCGAGGAGGACCACCGGCGCGCGCACGGGACCGCTCCGCCGTGTACGCCACTCGCCCCGGCAGCAGCACACAGCCCCAGACCTCGCGCGGCCGTGGCCTCTCGCTCTGCCCACGGCGCGGGGGGGACCGGCCCGCTCTCCGGCGGGCAGGCCTGCGGCTCCTGGGGAGGCCCGAACTCGGCCTCTTTGAAGGGGCCCTGGGACACACAAATAAGTACACACACACACAAATAACAGGATTCCCCATATTTTCCCATGTTGTCTCGGTTTTTGTCTTCCCCCCCACTTCCCATATTTTCCCATATTTTCTGGGGAATCGACGACTAATTGTGTCTGTGTGTTTTTTCCCCTCCTGATTCTTGTCGGCGGCGAGGCCAGGGGGAAGGCGAGAGTGGGGGAACGAATAATGGCAACAACAAAAAACTCTGAGGTCCGCGCGGATTTCTCGGATCCGCGCTGGACCTCCCTGGCGGCGCCTCCGGCGCCGCTCTGAGAAGTCGGTTGTGCCTTCGGGGAAGGCCCAGAGAACTCCTCAGAAGGCCGGAGGGCTTCCGAACCTTCTGAGAGGGTCCGCCCCGTCCGGCCTCCCCCCCTCGCTCGCCGCCGACGACGTGGTTTTGCTCGCTCTCTTCCTCTGAGCGAGGGAGGAGCTAGAGGTGGGGGCCAGCTCAGGGAAGGGGGGGGGGGAACGTCGGCCTGGAATCGGTGCGTCGCCGATGGATCGGCGACAGGCCCCCCGACGGCGGATTCCGAAAGCTCCTGAGCGGGGTCGGCTACGAGGCCCTTCTCGGCGATCGGTGAGCGATTGGGGGGTCGACGCAGTCTGTCCTAAGCCTATCCCGCCCCCCCCCCCCCCCCCCCCCGTAGCCCCCGAAAGCACTAGCAAGCACAAACAAACAATCAAACACAAGTAAGAGCAACAGAAACACGCCGCGACTGGGGCCTCGGGCGCCGCCTAACAGACCCCTATACCATGATCAGCACCTTCCGTGGCGTCATCCTCGCCTTCCAGGCTTCCCTCCGGCCGCGCATATCATCACTTTCTGGCACGTGAGCCGAGGGGGGACGTCACGGCAGGGGGGGGCCTTGCTGGGCGTCGCCTGGGCCGCCCCTGGGGGTCGCGACGCCCCCGAGCTCTGCGCACGAGCTCGCCCGGCGCGGGCGGTCGAGCGGCCCTCAGCCCGCCCCGGTGGCGGCCCCGGCGGCCCCCGCGGCAGCCGCATCCGCGGGGCCGCCGCCGCCGGGCGCCGCGGCGCCCCCGGGCATGCCCGCCGCGAGGCCCCCGCCGCCGAGCATCGACATCATGAGCACCGCGTTGGCGAGCTGGCCGGCCCAGCCGCCGGCCTCGGCCTCGGGGCAGGGGCCCGCAGATCTGGGCGTTCCCAGAGATCCGACGCTCAGGAAAAGATTGGAGCAGCCGGTTGTGGGTCGTTTTCGGCCCACGGGCCGCAAAAAGCCGACTCGGGATGGAAAACCGGCCCGAGGGAGAGCATCGGGACTTCTGGGAACCGCGCATTGAAAGAATCAAACCTCGCATGTCTGGGTGAGGGGGGACCCTCAGATCTGGGCGCTACAGGTTTTTCACAAAGAGCGTTTTGGCTAAATTTCTGGCCCTAGGACCCTCACAGATCGATGAGGGTCGAAAAATGAAGCAGAAAGATGGGGTCCGGGGCTCCGGAGGTGATTGTCTTGCGATGTTGTATCGTTTAGCAACGTTAGTCATACTGAGATGGAGGCGGGGGGGGCCAAGGGGACATCGGGGGCTCTTAAAAGCAGATTGCAAGGTCGGTTATCTCTGGCCTAGCCTATAGCTTACAAGTGGGTTACACGTGCCCCATAGACCAGCAGCTGGCCTCGGCCTCGGAGGGGGACAAGCGTACCGGTCGTGCCTCGCTTCGGCGGCGAGCCGGGGGGCGGGAGGGCAGAGGGGGCGGGCCTTCTCAGAGGGCTCGGAAGACCTCGGGCACCACAAGAAGTGCCCTGAGCCTGCTCCGAAGACAGAGACGGCTTAAGAAGGCTTCCGAGAAGCCCCGCCCGCCTTCTGAGCAGGCCCGCCCCCTCCCACCCTTGCCCCCCCCCCGGGCGCGCCGCCGATCGTTCTCTCGCCTCTTCGGGGGGGCCTCCTGCAGCCGTCGCCACGGCTGGGCTCGCTTCGAGGTCCTGGTCAGAACGCACCCCAGGGGAAGTCTGGGGCAAGGTGGCATACTGCCATCCCCAGACACTTGTTGTCTTGACATGTTCCACACGGGGCCCCCGAAGCCCTGAACCACTTCCTGGCGTACAAGTGTAGGGTCGGGCACGTCCTCCTACAGGCGGATTTTGGACGAAAAATTCGCCGGCCCAACGGGCCAAGGGCGTGCTGAGATCTCCGGCAACTGGTCAACAATAATTCTAGTTCGCGCGCGCGGGGCCGCCCCTGGGGGTCCCCGGACGGAAAATATACCCGCAAATCCCGGCAAGGTCCCGGCAAGATCCCGGGGAGATAGGTTCGCACCTCTGGCCGCCTGGTCCTATGGACCAATTTCCATTTTTGGAAATTGATATTTTCGTAAGTTTCCCCCTCCTCCTCGCCCTTCTCCTCCACCTCATTCACCTCTTATTGCCCTCCCCCTCCTCCTCCGCCTCCTCCCTTCGCCGACGACCTCCGCCTCGCTTGGCAACATTTCCGAAAACAATAAGCGCTATGCTATGCTACACGCTATGCTACGCTACGCGCTATGTGAGGCTATGCAATGTTATGCTACGTCATGCAGCGCTATGCTATGCTACGCCACGCTATGCTATGTGATGCTATGCAATGCGGACCGTTAAGAGAGAAAGGGCAGAGAAAGAGACAGACAGACGACCTGCATTGTTTCCTCCTCCTCCCTATTGTCCTCTCTCCTGTTCCTCAAGAATAGGTAGTGAGATCGGGGCAGTACGGATAAAGCATATGATGATAGTGCTGTCTCGTGAATTGCGCTTCTCATCAACTTTGATCGAATAATAAAAACAGATATCGGAAATCCGACTGCAACGTGCGAATCATACGCGTTCCAAACAAAACCTTCACATGCATTGGTTTGGGCACGCACATAAATATTTCTACATTCGTAGATATGTGTATGTATGAATACTAGAATGTGTGTATGTATGCCAATGTAAGTATACATATATAGTGTACATCGCATACGCATCATCAAGTGCATCCACATTCATAGCTCCGTTACACGTAAGCTTTTTTGGGGCTCGAGTCTGTTTCACGAAGTGAAGGTATGATTCTACCTCTCCGTCCAGAGGGGCAGCTGTGCATCGAACAGAAATGGTGCGTCGATGACCACGTCGTGCCCCTCGAGCCAGTCGAAGCGGAGTTTGAAAACATCCATAACGTCAGCCTCGAAGCAGACGAGCCTGAGCGTCAATCATTCTGCCTCTTGAACCTCAAGGCTTCGATGACATCGGTGTGGTTGGAGAAGGCCCTCAAGTTGCCATCGAGGTGGTGGGTCAAGCACCATCGTTCGGTGTCCACTTCTTTACCTCCTCCTCATCATCATCCTCCTTCCCCTCTGCTTTCTTCTCCTCATCCTCCTCGGTACCCCTGCTGTCGGAGATCAAAGGGATGATTGAATCTACGAAGACTCGCAAGGGTGGAGCATCTCGGATTTCTCAGCGCCCGAACATCGCAGTGGCTATCATTGTCCGCGGAAAAGTTGTGTTTGTCTTGAATGATATTCGAGGCCCTACTTTGGCACTCAAAGTTGGTAGTGAGCGTGACGTGATCAACTGGCTGCTCTCAGAAGTGTCCGCCGACGTCGTGGCGATGAAGTCGGATGCGCAGGAAAACACCCCCACTAAGAGTACTGCATCCGAGAGCCCCTCCACTGGCCCAGATGAGCACACTAGCAGCGTAGGTTCAGAGGAAGAGAAGGAGTTCGTCAGGGAGGCACTCGCGAACCTCAGGGCCAACCCGATGTGCCGCACGGTGTGCTTCCTGCCGTCTCGGCAGGCCATCAAGATATCCAGGGCGGACAAGGCGTCCCGCAATTATAATGACATACACCATCTGACTAAACATACATTAGAATTGCATACACAATCTTACTAAACATACATTCGTACACAATCTTACTAAACATACACGCATCCATACATTATTACGGGTACATCTGTGTGTGCATATAGCTACACACCAGTGTACATCAACAGATGCACGCACACGCGCATTCACACAAGTGCACAGTTAATGCACATGCACGTGCACATCTGATCACATCAGGAAACCAAGGAGTTCACGGTTGGGCACCTCAGCAAGAAACGCAGGGTCGCCGCCGAGAGGGGCGACGAGGCGTCCTGGTCAGAGGTCAGAGCTTCTTTTACCATCAGCGTGGCGAAGGCCGTCGAGTTCCTCGAGGGCAATGGCCAGGTGGAGCAATCATCATGAGACCATCGGCACTCGCCCACTCCCCGTGGTTCCGCTACCACGTTTTGATGCACCTCTGGCGGCGCGATTGCATGAATTTAGGTATTGCGAGCTTCCTTTCCGCATGAGACTGTGGGCAGTCGCGCGCGTCGAGTTTGGGGGTCGATGCTGAAGACCTCGCGTGCCAATTGTCCATGCTGCTGCCAGCGTGCCAGACACATTCCGTCGAGTTGCGCAGACAATGCCAACAAACAACTTGCTCCAGACAGTTCGTTTGCCCAAGCTCGGCGAAGCGTCGGCGAACACCTCTCAGAGCCCTTCTCGAGGCACATCGTGGTTTAATTGGGCCGTGTGGGGGTCATCTTGGAGCGCCCTCGGCCATCTTGGGCCGTCTAGGTGGCATCTTGGCGCTCTCGTGGGCCATCTTGGGAATTCTGGAGCTCTTGGGCGCCCGAACCCCCCGAGAACGCCCGAAATAGAAATAGCCTTGCCCGCGGCCCCTAAACATCTCTAAAGCGATGGTGGGAAACAAGGGTTGTTAATTCAAAGCTAGCCGGTAAGACGGGGAACAGCAGCAATGACACAACACGCTCTCCAATAAGGATGTGGTTTGTGTTAAACGCGTGTGCAGTGGTTTGCCCATTTGGGGTGTATCTCTTAGGGCCCTCAGAGGTCCCCCGCAAGGCCTCAAGAGGGCCCTTTCATCCCCTCAAGACAGGGTGCCCTTCCACCGCGGCAATATTGCCACATCCGTAGCGGGTTGGTTCAAACATGTGACAGCCAACGCCCGCTGGTCAAGAGCCCCTCTAGGCCAGCATGGATTTCGGCGCGCCCCAGGCTTCCAAAGAGGCGGATCAGGGGAAGTTGAGGAAGCTTGCTCAGAGGGTCCAACAGACACTCGAGGAGAAGGTCATCTATAAGGAGCCCAAGCAGCTGGAGCCACGTGCGGTCTTGGTCGCCCCTCTCAATCGCGACGGTGCGCCTCCTAATGTACAGCACGTCCACTACGGGATCCTAATGAGCTTCAAAAAAAAGGATTTGACAGAACTCGGCCTCAGATTGGCATATGCATTGAGTTCAAAAGCGAAGATGGCAAGAGGAAGCGCATTCAGCACAACGCCAGGTTCAGCAAAGGAATGTCTCTGTTGCCCCCCATCGACGAGGATAAAGCAATGCATGGTTCTCTGGCAGGCTCGCACTTCAACATCGCCCTTCGGCTTATCCAAAGTGGCTGTACCCCGCCTGCCGCTGGGGGCCTCTCAGACTTGATCGGCGACGACGCGTCCCTCAAGGACGTCGCGCTACGTGGCCATCGCTGGTGGGTTCTGCCTGAAGACGTTCTTCCTGAGTGCCAGGTTGACATATCCCTCTGGAGGAACCAGGACCAGAACGAGAACCAGGGGACAAATGAGATCGAGATCCTCCAGACCATCGCCACGACTGCAACAACGATAAGCCAGACCGAGTCAAAGGTGCGCATGGCCGACCTCGTGGCCAAGGCGTCAAGGAGGAAACCTGCAAAGATCTCGCCTGTGGTGCTCGGGACCTCAGCGAAGTTCTACACGCAGTATCTGGACGAGGGCCAGCGGCACCACGTCGACGAGCTCGTTGACTTTCATTCCTCCAACGTCAATCCTCGGGACCTCGTGGTGTCCAATGCGTACTTCCAGGCCCTCGTGAACGAGGACGTGCTGAAGCAGACCCCCTACACAAAGCACTACTTGCTCATCGCTCAGTACACCGACGAGAAGACTCGGGCACAAGCGGGGGGGGGCATCGCAGGCAGCTTTCATCGAGACCTCATTGATCCAGGGATTGGCCAAGAAGCCTGACGTTCTCGAAACGCTTGAGAAGAAGATCAAGGAGCTCAGGGGGCGGTACTTACCGATCCTCGAGAAGACCATGTCTGCCAAACAAGCTGGTCTCGAATTAGCGGAGTACATGAACCTCG